TTTTTTTTTGTAATATTAATTTTGTCCTTGGAGGACTATGGTAAATTGTCTACAATAATGCAAGTATATAGTATTTAGGAACATACTGAAGTAAACAAACAGAAAATAAAAACTTTTTTGCATTCATGTTTGGTTAAACAACATACTTGTTGTATTAATAAAGCAGTATAGAACTACAGAGCAGAGTTCTCATGTCACTGACATAATCTGATGCTTATCATTGACTTCAGCATGTTAAGGCCTCACTCCCAACCCTTGAATTCAATGGTAACTTTGGTGACTTATACGCAGAAACATCAACAGGAAAACAATTTGTCCTTCATCATTCAAAAATCATAATCAGAAAAGATTGCTTTAAAACAAGTAAATGAATATCATTATACAAACAAATGCTCCACTCAACACATTTTATTGCTTGAGGTTTCCTTCTAAATAATTATTACGTCAAAAAGCACCAATGATGTAAAGAACCACTGTAAAAATAAATCCGTTATTTTTAACACCTATCATGTGGCTCAGTGTTTTCTGAAAAACTGAACTGTCATGTAACAATTACATTTTTTCCTCTACTTTTACCAGTTACAACTTCTATTAAGATTGGCACTGAACAGCAGTGTTTAAAAAAAAAAAAGTATAAAATACAATAAATATGTAACACGAATTCCCTTAGCGTGACAAAATCTTATAGGAATTATTTTATTTTCATAAGGAGTCTACCATTACAAACCTTAGTATGTATTATCATCAAAAGATTCATTTTAAAGGAAATTAAGAAGAAGAAAAAAAGAATAAAATTAGACACAAGACAAGAGTCTATGTTTCTGTATAAAAACAAAAATTACAAGGCAAGGTAGAGAGATCATAGGAGATTATGTGACTCGTGCAGCATGGAAAAGTCTCCATCTCCTCTTTGGGAGATATACACAAAACAATTGCCATGTTTATAAGGGATTTGAAAGTAAATGGAAGACTGGCCTGTTTTCCCCACTGTCCACAATTGGTGACAATTTGTACAGAGACTTTCTGTTCCTGGAATTCTTAAGGAAGAGGTTTGTCCAGCCTTTTTGCAAGACAAATCCATAATAATTTACATTGTCAGATCATAACGGGAACTGATACAAATAAATCAGTATTTTAGAGTCTGATATTGATAGGAGAAGTTTTAAAATAAGAGAGATATAGGTTTGATGTTAAGAGGGCACTGTTTCCTCAGAGGGCAGTGAGACGCTGGCACAGCTGCCCAGACAAGCTGTGGTGCCCCATCCCTGGAGGCACTCAACCTGGCCGCCCTGTGCAGCCTGAGCTGGTGGGGGCAGCCCTGCCCACAGCAGCAGGTTAGGAAGATGATTCCTTCCAACCCAAGCTTTTCTATAACTTTTCATTCTATTAACTTCATGTCCAAACTGAAGTCCAAAAATTTTGCTAAAACTATTATACTTCTTTACACAAGAAAATTCAAGGAAACATTAGCAGTCCAAAGCTCTACTTGAACACTTCTCACTGAATGCAATTGTGAGAAGATACTGTTAATAAAATAAAAGTAAAGCAGTGATTTTTAATTTTATTTATTTTTTAATTAAAGTGTAGAAAAGGGTACTTCTTGAAAATAAAGAAAACCAAATCCATAAAGGAACTTGAAAAAATTCAGCAGTGGTTTTTTTTCATTTGGGTAAATACCTCCCTATTCTACTAAGAAACATTCAGGGACATTTCTAGACAATATGATACAATTCAATTATGTAGCACAGAAAGTAGATGGTTGTATTATATTTTACACCAGATTGTAAATATAGTTTCACAAAGCTCTCATTTCTCACTGCTGTATCTTGTGGTTTCCATGAAAACAGATTGCATACTTAAGAAGAGAAGAAAGTTGCAATCCATGAGTTAATCTGAAATTTTCTGATGACTACATTTTGCAGCATGTGCTATGGTAGTGAATCCTATTTTCTCAGAAGGGACAGTTTATTTCTTCCTTTGAACTCACTCTATTCTCTCACCACACAGTATATACTTAAGTGTTTACGTAACTGAACAATAAGCACTGCTAAGAAGGAGTTTAATAATAACAAAAAAAAGTTGACAAAAAGGGATTTGAATGTTGTTTCCTACTATCACATTCTGAATATGTCATTTGCTCTAATTTAAAACAAGCACAAAACTCTTGTTGAGTTCAACAGATTTACACTATACAAGTGTACTTAAATACAGAACAGATTATTTTAGGTGAACCACGTATCTTAAAAATCATGTTACTAATTCATTAGGAATCAAGAACACATTCCTCCCAAATCTATAGTGTATTCATAATTCACTCCCCATAGTAATTGCTGCTATAAAGAAGAGTATAGGAAACTCTACTTATGTAGAAGAGAAATTGCATCTTCTATCTTCTATCTATATGAAAAGTTAATTTAATATTCTGTATTTAATTATCAGTTTAAAACAGATGCATTAGAATGGTATCTCAAATTTTTTTTTATCATTATTTGTTTTTTTTTCATTGAGTCTTATTGTCAGAGGTACTCTTGGGAATAAATTTGACAATTTAAATAACTGGTATTTTACTAAAATGCAAATAAAATATTCCCTAGTACTTTCAGTACAGTTGTGTGAGGTTTTGTGTTTTCATGGAAATAAAAGACTGATTCGGACCACAGTATGCTATTTTAATGACTTCTCTTTCTGGAATGATTTCAGTTTTCAGACTAAAAATGTAATACTTCTTTGCTGTAACATGCTTTTCCCAGGAGAGAAAAAAAAAAAGACACTTTTTACATTTGCTAGACTCTAAAAAGTCACATTTGCCATATCACAATCTTAGAATATGAATATTTCTGTGCAAAGGACTACCCCAAAGCCTATGTATAACTTAATAAGGATAATGGACTTCAAAAAGCCCCAAGCCTCAACATATTCAGAATTCTTGAGAAGAATATCTAAAAGATGAATAAATGCAAAATAATTGGTGGTGATTGGAAAACACAGTACCAAATGAATAGCTACTCCAACATGGATGAAAAGTATAAAACAGTAAGAGACCAGATGGACTGTACAAAAGGTGCTAAATAACCTGAAAGATCATAAGCAGCAAAAGAAGAATAGGGACATAATTTAACATCAGATTAAAGAATTGGCACAAACACAGAATGAAATCAGCAAGGCAAACACACAAAACCAATTTTAATTGTCAAGGAATATAAAACAAAAAGAAAACATTTGACACACGCTCAAAGACACTAGCAGAAGTAAATAAAAGTATACTACTTAAATAGTAAGGAAAAATAAGCTGATGATTCTCCTATCACTTTTCACAAATGTTTGGGAACGTTTTTATTCATCTAAATATCATTCAACCTATTCCATTATTTCTAGAGAATTAATTGTGATCTTGAACAGAATAATGGAGAATAAAAAACATATTTTACCTTCTCTTCTGCTAAAAGGGACAAAACAAAAAAAAAAGATGGATAAAGAATGGATTAAAAAAAAAAAAAATCAAATCAAAGAATTTCAAAGCAAAACAGATGAGCTTATAAAATTGTTACATTATCAGGGCATTAAAGGTGGTTTGCAACAGATGTCCACTCTGGAATCTGTTGGCTTTGGATAATGGGATAACCATATGAGAAAATAGAAAATGCATACCGCGAAATTGACACACAACAGTGTAGACAAGACTGCAAATATTTTGATGAAAAGGTTCAGAATGACCTTGACAAACTGGAAACTGAACAACAAGCAATATGAAAATCCAAGTGGAAGTCATGGATTTCAGAAGGGAAAATAAAATAGGCAAAGAAAATTATTGGCTAAGCAGAAACTTGTCAGAAAAAGGACCTAGGAGAATTGTGGATTATAAGTACAAGCTGCAAAATGCCAAAGCTATTGTGTTACGTACTATCAAGAACAACATGTTTAAGAAGAACAAGAGAACTACTTCTGTCAATTCTGTGCTAATGAAGACTCTGAAAATGTATAGCATAATGGTTTAAATGCCAAAAGAGAGAGGCACTCAGCTTATAAGAAAACACTGAATAAGTGTGCTTTATTTAGTAAAAAGAAAACTTACAAAGGAAGAAACAAATATGGAGTTAAGAAGGAACAGTCTTCTATTTAAAAATGTTTTTAAGGCCTATGTTTAATTGTGCACAGGACAAACATAGAAGCTTAATTTTTAGAAAGTAATTTATGTCAGATGTAAGGGAAAATGTCTAGTTTTCAAACCCATATAAAGTTTCTTTTGAGATACCCTTTGCCAGGGGTGCCCAGCACAAATAATCTGTCCTGTGAAGGTATTTCCAATTTCTTTTAAATGTATTTTTTCTTAATTTCTTCACTTTAAACATTAACAACATTAATCTACCATTCATGATGGTCATTTTTCTCAGACCATGCAGCCAAAAAATAAGCTACATATAGAAGTGCTTACGAAACCCTCCAGTACAATTTATAGTGTATCTTATCAGAGACTACTGATGGTATACAGTATCTGATAATCTGTTAATATCTTCCTTCAATCTCCATGAAATCAAGCTATTTTCAAGACTGAAACATAACAATACAGAATTTTAAGCTGAAATTGATATATCTATGGAAAAGCAATTATTGAAAAAAAGTGTTCAGACTCAAATATTATTTAGTTGATTTTGAATTTGATTTCTCTTCAGAAAGGTGGTCTATACTGTCAATAACATTGAAAGTAATTGCTATGCAGTTAAGCATTTCAAGAAATCCATAATTTATTCTGCCTGTGGATTAACTGACAGACCTATGCAGGAAACTATTTGAAAAACATGCATTGAAATTGCTTAGATTTTAGAACATTTTCTAATACTATATCTGAAAACATTCAGATATGTCAACATGGGGCAGTTTCCAAGTGTTGAAAATAATTTACATTAGAAGCGGAAAAAATGTTTTAAAAGCTTTTTAATTTTCATTCATGGACAAGCCATTAATTTTTTTTTTCATTTGCAAAGTCAAATGCAGTCCCCCCCAAAAAAAAAAAAAAAAAAAAAAAGAGCAGTTCCTTGAGAATGAAAAATAATTTCAGTCGTTGCAAGAGAGTAACAGTACATGCATTAATGTGCAACATTGGTAGGATGCAACACATGCTTTTCTGGCAGTTTCCCACTATTCCATATGTTGTTCTCATTTCGCACAATTTATACATCTCTATATAATTTTCTCACCTGTGCATTCAGGCTGTATTTGTCTGTCTCTCAAACATGACTTGGAAGTGGGAAGCACTCTGGAAATTGCTAAAACAGGATTTTAGCCTGCTGCTCTACAGAAGTCTCTGAGAATGCCCCATTCTGGAGTTGCAAACTAGGCCATTCAGACGCTATTCCACTAGGAAAGCAAGAGTCAGTCTTCTGTTATTCTTCATTTACAAGATCAATCTTCAGTCATTCATGTGATCACTAATTTTCTCTCTCTTCTTTAATAACTTCTGACTCGGGCTTTTGTTATAAGAAGTGTTGCCCCTGAGGGCACGTTTTCAGGTAACGATTTCAAACTTTCCAGTCTATCCAAGTTTGTCTTCATTGCCTTCCCAGGCCTAAGAATTGTTATTTCTGAGGATAAAAAGTAGATCTCAGTAGGATACCTACACTAAGATGTATATTTTTGATATATGTTACGGGACAAAATCTCCACAATTATCTAATTAAAAGCATGAGTTTCCAAAATACTGTTTTCGGATGAAAATTCTGTTCGACATGTCATTTTGTTTTAAATTGTTCACATCATCATATTCCAATGCAACAAGACATAAAAGGAAAATGAAACATCATAAAGGAAAATATAAGTAAAGAATTCAAATAACAAGTCAAAGAATTTGTGTTTTTTTTTTTGTTGTTGTTGTTGAACTTAGCACAGTTCAGAAGATCAAGATTCTATTAATCTTAATTAGTTCTTTCAACAAATACAGCAGAATGAGAACAAGTTAATCTCTCTTTCTTTTTAGCAATGTTGAGATTTGAAAAACATGCACCTTCGCTAAAATGCCTGGGTAAGATGTATTATGAAAATACAAATATGTATATATAACATTAATTTACTCATTTGAATGAGCAACAAGATACTTATTATAATAAAGTGAGCATTTTTTAAGATTCTTGTATGTTAAGCATGGATACAAAGTCCTTTCCTACTTAAATATATATGCTAATCCTACGGAAAATTCTCAGCCAAAGCCAAATCTTCCCAGTGTTTAAAATTCTATATACACCAAAAATTAAACAAACATCTAATCCACAATATTTTGAAATGGAAAAGAGATTGATATAGCCATAAAACAGAAGACAAGAATGCCAATTTTTATATCTTCTAAGGTATGAGGAATGATCGAGTTCTTATAATTTTCTTTTAGGTATAACCTTCCCTTCCCAACAGCAATATCTTCCTTCAGAAGTTACATTTTTATTGAGTTCAGTGGACATATGACTGATGTCAGCCAATAAGTAATTTGTCCTACATAAACTGTGGTTTGGTCTCTGTAGCATAGTTACCTGTCTCTTCTATCTGATGAAATCCTGAAGGAAAAGAACTCAACATGAGGAAGAATTAACAAAATACACTTATTAATAAAGAATATTCTATGACCTACGAAGTGGCAGGATATTTCCATTGACTAATAAAGAATTTTCTTACCAAGTTCCACTAAAATCTTAATTCTGATATTCTAACTAAATGTGAAAAATCCATTTATCAACTAAACATAGATTTTGATAAAAGTAACAATTTCAGTGTAGGGAAAATTCTATTCTTCTCTAACAATCTACTTCCTATAATATTTTATGTATTTAGAAGGTATCAAACCATCCTCAAGAAAGAATTACCAATTATTAGTTAGCATACAATCTTGTCAATCAACAGTTTTTCCTGAATTTTCTGCTGGATTCCTTCCAAAAAATAGAAGGCACCTAATATTCAGCACTTATGTAATTGAACTTTGCTTTTAAGATGACGCAGTAAGGAATCTTTAATTTAGTTAAGTGACAGTAGCTCATTTTTTTTGTTATTGGACTTCACAAAGAGAGATCCTGTATACCAGGTTTCAGGAGGCTGTGCTGTTCCACACAGTTTTTCGAGCTAAATTTCCATATAACCTGAACTAAAAAACAAACTGAACAAACAACCAAAAAACAACCATCCAAAATGTTAGCATGTTAGCTAATGTGATACTTGAAAGGAAATTAAACTAAGCACATTTAATAATGAATTCTTTTTTCCTTACTGAATACTTAGGAACTAAGCTGCATCCTCCCAAAGTCTAATCTTAAGGATGTTTGATAGAAAAACTGCTGCCATACTTCTCAGCACATTTTCATCTTTTTCCTGACTAGTCCTTGAAATACTGTACACAGTTTTAACTGGAAAATCCTACTGAATAAAAGACATGTTCTCTGGCTATGCATTAAGCATCTAATTCTTACCCTCCCTCCAAAAAAACCATCAAAAAAGCTCTGGAAAACTCTGTGCAACATACAGTATTATCTGCACCATTTGATACACACTGGTGGTCAGCCACAGAATCACACAAGCCAGAAAAGACCTTTAGAGATCATGTAGCTCATTGTCCCACTCAATTATATTCCAATTAGATCATGTCTCTGCCCAGCTGAGCTTTGACTGCTTTGATGAAGATGCCTTAAGCAACTAGGGCAACCTATGCCCATGTTTGACCAGCTTTTCAGTGAATTATTTTTCTTGTATGGACTTGGAATACCTTGCGCCCCAGGCTGTGCCTGTTGCTGCTCACCTTCTGCTGTGGCTGCTGGGGAAAGCCTGACCCCATCTTCTCTACCTTTCCATTACGTAGCTGTTGATATAATAAGATCTCCCCTTAGCCTTCTCTCCTCATGTAATATAATTTAATAAAAGTTTGTATCATCTTCAGTCTTCACTACTCTTCTTACATCTACCAGACTCTGCTACCTTTACTCATACTGAATATTTTCACTTGTTTGGCAGTGATGTCACTGAAAGTAAAGGCATGATTTAGAGCACGACTGTCCTGCAACACTAGTGGTGCTTAATTTGAGGGAATGTCACACCATTCATCTTGGTAAAACAGTAAAATGTTTTGTTTATTTTGAATATAAAAGGTCTCATACATCTGTGCAGTAAAATGAATTCAATCTACTTCAGGTGAGATAACAAGAAAACACAAGGAACAGAATTCAGGGATCTCCTGCATTCCTTGCTTTGCATTGAAGAACCTCTGATTAAAGTTAAATTGGCAATGTTCTTGAAGATGAACTCTGTTCTTATTTAACTTAGTGGAAATTCAATAAGTTTCGCCAGCAAAAATTTTTGGACAGAATTTTTCAAAGATATAAGGCTTTGATTCTAAAAAAAAAAAAAAAAAGTCTTTTACCAAAAGCATCAAATTAATAAGTGTTCTTAAGTCTATTTCTCTGGCACCATGAGAGAAGAGAGCAAATATGCTAGGATGCCAGAAGGCAGAGAGTGTGGCAGACAGCAAGGGGAATGAGGGAGACATTGAGAGCAGCAGCTCTGCCAGACATGGCTGTGCCAGAGGAGGAACAGCTTTGCTATCCCAGAACAGCAACAAATACCATGGGCGCAATATTCCTGCAAGTGAGTGTCTCCCTCTCATCCAGTCCCACGTTATTTCTTCCTGCTCTCTCCTTCACCAACAGGAAAAAATAAATAAATAAATAAAGTGTAATCCTTTCCCAACAGTGAAGGAGATGTAGTGTCTGCTTTCTGGCAGGGAAAGATGTGTGAAAAGCAGAGATATTGTACCCTTGGGTAAAGGAAATAGTAAGTAGCAACATAAGTATATTCTTTAATATTATTCAGTGCTGCCTCTAGATTAATTAAAATGTTTGTTTTATTTGAAGCCACCACTAGCGGTGGTTTGGGGTTTTTTTTGGTGGACTTTTTTTTCATTACTAAGAAAATGATACACCGAAGCATACAGTGATCTTCCTGCCTCTCCTTTCTCTAGTCTGTAAATCTTTCTCTAGGTTACTAGTTCTTAGTGGAAATTTTTATCCTGCTTTTAGATTCCAGTTTGTGCAGGGCTGAAACACAATTTAGCACTGACAGGTAAAACAAAAGATGATTGATGTACTGTCCTCCTGAATAAAAAGGAATCTGGCTTTCCCGAGGTAGTACACTTGTAAAATAACGGCAGTGATATTTCTTCCAGCATACTTGCCTTCAAGGTGAACTAGATTATGTAGACAGGCATATTCCTAAGTAACCATTGCTCCTACCCCTTCCCTCAGCACAAGGAGGAAGTTCTATGCTGATACCCTTCTAGCCACAGGTGTAAGAAATACACACCCAACACATCTGCTAATAGACAAGTAAAAGGATAAGGGCCTCAGCACTCCAGCTGATAAGCATTTATCTATTTATGCAGAGTAATTAGCATTCCAAACAGCAAAGGCTGTTATCCATGCCAGAGTATTTCCCTTCTCTAAGTGAGTGAGATAGAAACATAACCTGTAATTTTAACTAATGGGGGATTTTAATGGCATGAAGGCATGGGTGAGCTAATTTGTTTATAAAACTAAGCTCACTTCCTCTTCATTGCTAACACAGCAATCTGTTACTCTTTTTCCTTGGGACTGGAACGCATGCCCTGTATTCCACGCATCATTATGAGTTACAATACCTCCCGTGTAAAGGTTTAGTCTTACAGCATGTGAATCTATAAATTAACATAAATTGCCACATGGAAAGTCACTAAAGCAGTTGTTCTGCTTAGTTAAGATTGATAATTGGACTCTGAGCTATTCAAAAATTCATGGGATGAAGTATATTGAGCTACATACCAAACACTGTAAATAGACTGAAAATTTGAAATTTGACTTTTACATGCTAACTACTTATCAAATTTTTTAATTAGACTGTCATCTTACTTAAAAATGCCCATTAATGTGCTGAAAGAAGAATTAAGCCTCATCAGCCTTTCCAGAAACCACATTTTTGCAATAAGACAAAGAAAACAAATGAATATAGTGTTTACAAGTTATTTCCAGTCTTGAAAAATAAACACTGCTAACTTCATCAGCTATGTTTTTTCCATTCACAGAAGGGTCATCTGTTCACATAGGAAAAATATAATACTGGCATATGGGAAATCATATTTCCGAAAAAATAATAATAATTGTCCATACAAAAGCATCTGTTTTGGGAAAGAAAAAGATCTTTGAAGACCGATATCCTGTTTTTCTATAGCACTGCATTGAAGTATTTCACAGAGTTCTCTCAGGGGGAAGAATATCATTTTTATTCATTCATATCACAGTCTTCTAGTCTTATCTTAAGCTCAGGATCAATCAGGATCACACAGAGAACAGAGGTGCATAAAATGGGAATGCTTTCAATATAACATTTTCAGGTGGTTAGTCAGGATATAATCTCCTTGCTGCTTACAAAAATTGCTGCTACATTAGCCTATCCCTGCTTCCTTAGACATTCCATGCACAAATATCTTTTGATCTCTGCTCTTCTTTCTTTACTGCTTGGGAAAAAAAAAAAAAAATGAGGATCTTCTCTTTTCTCTTTTTTTTTTTTTTTTTTTTTTTTTTTT